AAGATATTTCGGAGTGCTAATGGACCGCTTGTCGTTTTTGGTTTTTTAACCTGCGCAATACCCTCCGTTCCATACGGAATACTGTGATATCAAATGACATATGAATTACCCATGCGTAAATGTTGCATCCGAATAAAACATTCGAGACATAGATCTTCCGATAATCCAACGTTTCCTTTATTTAGACATAACATTACACGTGTCCACTAATTTTCATGCTTTTCGTATTTTAATCTCATGATAATCCTTTCCTTCGAGATTAAGACATGTGACCATGCCAGTCAATTTCTTAACTGTTTCTGTTATCCCAGGAACGACCTCGTGGGTCCCGAAATCAGTGAGTAACCTGCCAAGTCCCCTTTAAATTATCGCAATAGAAACCTTCGAATTTCCGTGAGTGGAAAAAACTGTCCATCGAAGTGAAAATTCGAACGCGCACTGGTCGAATTTTATCATTTGTTAACAGTTGATCTCAGCCTTCTGACAGTTTGACTTTGACGTATAACATGTAACAGATGCTTATGATTTGGGATATGTGTGGAGAGTGTCCGAAATTCGTGAGTTTGAACTAAATAAATGCTGAACGCTGCTAAGTGAAAGAAAAACAAATAGGAACGTAAAGAAAGCAAAGATTACGAGGAATCAGAAACTCGTCCATCGATTTGTGCATACCAAGACGGGCTGTTATTGTTGGATTTCGATTTGTTTGGCGCCGCTTCAGATCTTATATTGATACTCAGCGCTACCTCTTCGGAGACGTTTATCTCCTCTGTTACAGCTTAACAATCATCCCTGTAAACCAAGCGTTAAACCTCTTCGGTATTCTTAACCAGTTAGATCTTTCTGGGACTCTTCCAATTTATAAAATCTCTATTTGTAAACATGTAAATAGCCCATTCCTGTTACAATGCCAATGATTTTTGTGTAGACATTTCGCACAGATGAAATTTTTATTCCATTTCAAATAAAAGAATGAAAATATCAGTTATCAGAGACAGGACAATATGATTCATCGTAGATTAGACCCTAATAAGATCAGATCACGTTGCATTAGAATCAATTTTGTCCGTATTTGATGCTTTCTTAGCTGGTGACATCGGAGGGAGCGCAGAGCTGATATTTGCATTAGAATCAATTTTGTCCGAATTTGATGCTCTCTCAGCTAGTAAGTTCGGAAGGAGCGCAGAGTTGGTATTTGGTAACACACCACCTTCGGAGAGCGTTACATTGGAGAGAAGCTCATTCAGTTCATCGTTATTCCGTATGGCTGATTGTATGTGTCGCGCGCTGATTCGGTTCTCTTTGTTGTTACGTGCCTCATTTCCAGCCAATTGCAAAACTTCAGCAGTAAGATATCGAAGCACTGCCGTAAAGTACACGGAAGCACTAGCACCAATCCGATCAGCGTAATTACCATTGCGAAGTAAACGACGAACACGGCCGACAGGAAAGTCTAATCCAGCCCGGACAACTCTTAATTTACTCTTCTTGTTCTTCCTCGTGACCTTTGGCATTTGTAGCTGATACCAAGTGAAAATGAATCTGACCAAACACAATAAACGACCCAGACTAATGGCACCCGTCTCGGAACAGCTGCTTAGCAACTTATAGAACTTTGGAAATATAAATGGGAATTAAATAACTGCATAAACAATTCATCTAAACTTGCTAAATTTGCATATTTCGTATTTTTAAGTTTGAAAACTATGATTAATGTTGGTTGAACTACACCAAATTAAATAGCTTTAAAGAATTGTTAGAATTATCTGAAAGGTGAGAAAGGCCTTACTAAGCTAGGTCATGCGGAAGTACCCGAACTTTCAATTAGCTTCCTGATATGACGATTTGAATGAGGCAGCGTTGATCGATCGAGCTTTTTTAAGCACTGTGGTTAATCTCAAACATTTGATTTCAAATTCTAATGAGGGAAGTAATTTGTTCATCCCTCCAAGTACCTCGAAAGCTCATTTCATTGCCATTTTCAACGTTTTGTACCACTGTAATCACCCATATGACAAAAGCGTTTCGTGTTAAACCACAGGCACACAATATTTTAGATATAAGCAATAATAATTTCAGGATTTTATGCTTAATAATTTGTTGGGTCCAGTACGTTAAGCATCTCATTCATTTTTTAAATTCCATCCAAATGTTAATGATGATGTATTAAAGCATCATAGAAGCGAAGTGGCATCATCCATTTGGAAGATACCGTATCCAGGCAGACTGCCCACTATTCATACGGTCATTGCTATCTCAGCAGAGTGGGGTTATCGAAAGATGAGATAAAGATCTCAAACATACCTCTTTGGTGACCTCAAATACAACACACTTCGCCAACTTTTCGGGACGAATCAAGCGAAGAGCTGTTTGCGAATTCGGAATCTGAAGACAAAAAAAAGTCTTCTAAATATGTGAGAAAAGCAATCATATAGAACACGTTGTGATGCGTACTTTCATAAATTTTATACCTATCTTATTCCATTTAAGGTTATCAAATTCTCTTGTTCTGCAAAATTTCAAAATACTAATCTTATACTGTTGGCTTATTTCTCATTGGAAATACTTCCTTCACATCCCTATTTTCAGTCTAACAGATTAATGTTTGACATTTTTTCATGCTCAAAATTCCGGAAATATGTTCCGTTGTGTAGCAAGACAAGCCCCTTTTAAACGCTGATATAACAGTTTTGTTCTTTAACTATTAAGCCTAAGTGATTAAAGGAATAATAGATTCACATTTTCCATCATCTTCAAAAAAATAGAACCACATACATATTAGCTAATACATATTCAAACATAGTACTGAAGATGAGTTTGGATCGAGATAGACTGCTTCTATAAGTGATTTAGGATCTCGTTCCGTAACATAATGTAAGGATATGTGCAGATTTAGCTATAAAGAAAGTCATTGATTGAATAAATGGCAAAGATGGCGAATGTTCAAGAGATGAAGAATACGGTAATTCATTAGCTCCTCCCAGACCGATATCATTATGGCGCAAGAAAAGGGGTGTGGCTTAAGCTTCCAAAAATGAATAAATAGGTGTTGAAAGTGAGAGTGAACACCAGTGCGGTTGTCTATCTTTGCTTTGATCGGTTTAACGGTTCGGTTGTCTATCTTTGCTAAAATCGGTTTAACGGTGCGGTTGTTTATCTTTGCTGGGATCAGTTTAACAGTAAGGGCGCGTTTCTAATCAACGATGGCGAAAACCTCTTCTCTTTCATCGACATCGAAGAAACCGCGGGAGAAAAATGAGAAAACTGTTGAGAAGAAAGTACGAATAGAAGAAAAGGAGAAAGAAAAGCCACAACAACAGCCACAGCAACAGGAGCAACAACAGCCACAACAGCAACAGCAACAGCCACAGCCACAGCCACAGCCACAGCCACAGCCACAGCAGCAGCAGAAGAAGAAGAAGAAGAAGAAGCAACGACGAGTTCAGCGAAAAGAATCGTATTCGGTCTATATCTACCGTGTTCTCAAACAGGTTCATCCGGATACCGGCATTTCGTCGAAGGCAATGTCAATTATGAATTCTTTTGTCAACGATGTCTTCGAGCGAATTGCAGCTGAGGCAAGCCGTTTGGCACGTTACAGCAAGCGATCGACAATATCAGCTCGTGAAATCCAGACATCTGTTCGTTTGATTCTTCCCGGAGAATTAGCGAAACATGCTGTGTCTGAGGGTACGAAAGCTGTCACGAAATACATGAGTTCGCAATAAAGTGGGCTCATGTTTTCTTCAGCTTCACACCCATCCAAACCCAACGGCCCTCTTTAGGGCCACAACTTTTGTGAGTTGTGCTTGTACCTATTGGTGTGACTTTTTCTGTTGATGTGATTTTTTCTATTGATGTGGTCTTTGTGCTTTATATATTAAGTGAAATAAAGACTGCTTTGGAACTATTGTTTTTACAACAAGTGTAATTGGCAATTACATTGGGATATGATATTTGTGAATTTACCGAAACATTCCTATGAGTTTCCAACGAAGATTAAGGTTTCCGGCATTGTAATTGAAGTACAGAGTCGTGGCTGAGATTAATTTGTTCTGTCATCTTCTGGCAATCTCAGATTTCAGACAAACCGAACATGGTAACAAACTACTAATCGATATTTTGGGGCAATATGGATTACATGGGAGGTTTTAGATTAGTTTTGAAGCACTGCATTACAATGTGTTTTGGAGAGCTGTTTTTTCCGAATTTTTGAGGAACCTTAACTTTATTTTCCGAATTCATGGTCCGGTCATCGTTCTTTGTGGGTGATGATGTTACTGTGTCGTTTTTTTCCGAAGAACAGAGGTATTGTCGTTCATTCGATGATGGTTCATTTCTTGAAGAGATTGGAGCTATTAATTGGCATATGAGGAGGATAAGGAGGACATATAAGGAGCCCATCTCTCCTTTACTCCTCCACAGTGCCCTCTCCGTCTCGTCAGTCAATCAATCAATCCATTATCATATCATTTCTACATGAGTCAAATTTGGTAATGTCACGTACAAGGTAAAGGAGAGATGGCAAGCAGAGGAGAATTTGGATGCAATAGCTAGCTTATGTGATGGCGCGCCTTCAATCATTCAAAATATTTGTACGATTTGTCACGTACGCTAAAAGGGCATTCAGGAAGAAAGTAGAAGAGAGATAGGAGGAGGATGGGCGATGACTGCATGAGCTGAGTTTTCGCGTTACTACTAAACCTCTAAGTATTGTGTTGTTTGTGACGATCAGATTAGAAAAGTTTTTCTTTCCTTTTGTCGTGAAAATTTTATTTCAATGCGTAGAAAAATGATAACAGGATAGAATAAGAGATTTCCGGATGAATGTTTTCCGGATATCTAGTGATTGTTGGGATGATTTTGTAATATCGGGTAAAACGACCGCTATACATTACGATTTGTTCGTTTAATTGTTTGAAATGAGCCAAATAATTGTAGTTCATCAGTTATTGCATATTAATTAATTCTGAAAGAAAATGTGCATGCTGAAGTGATATACTGCAATAGGTATATTTCAAAGTGATAATCCGTTCTTCATATAGTTATTCAAATTTTTCGATTTTGATTCATTCTCCTTTATAAATACCGGCTATTCCTAGTTATATGTCATTTTCCCAGGTCGTTTGTTTGTATTTGGTCAGGTTCATTTTCACTTCAGTGTCAGGTACAAATGCCAGGAGACAAGAAGAAGAAGAAGGCGTCCGAGAAAAATAAATCAAGATCCGTTCGGGCCGAATTGAACTTTCCCATTGGCCGTATTCATCGTTTGCTTCGTAAGGGTAACTATGCTGATCGAATTGGTGCCAGTGCTCCAGTCTATCTTGCAGCAGTGCTTGAATACCTTTCTGCCGAAATTTTGCAAATGGCTGGAGAAGCGGCACGTGTTAACAAGAAAAACCGGATCACTCCTCGACACTTGCAGTTGGCCATACGGAACGACGATGAACTGAATGTGCTTCTCTCCGATGTAACGATCTCTCAAGGTGGTGTGCTACCTAATATCAATTCTGCACTCCTTCCTAAGCAATCAGCTGACATGCCATCAACTTCGGAGGAAATTAAGATTGATGTGACCTGATCTGATCTTATTTTAGGCCGTCGAACAATGATCTTTAGGGCCGCAAATGTATGAATCATATTTATAGTATGAATCATATCCAATGTTCTATTTTATGGAAGCAGAATAAAAGATTTATCTTTGCGAAGTATTTATACAGAGGAATTACTGGTATTGTACTGGTAAGTTCACAAATAAGGTTGAAGGTTGAGTGTGTGATCTGTTCTCTTCAGTCTGAAATAAGCCTGGAATGCAACAGAAGCCCATCGATACCTTCAAGTTGTGTTGGCTTGTATGATTCAAATTCTGGT